TGGAGGAATAGTCGTGGAGGGCACTATTGCCGATAATTACGTCAGACGTTGGAAACAAGTTAATTACTTAGCTGACGTATTTTGGCGCCGATGGATGAAAGAGTATCTACCATGCTTGCAAACTCGTCAGAAGTGGTTGGGAAGAAAAAGAAATTTCAAGGAGGGAGATGTGGTGATTGTGGCCTCTGAAAAAACACCACGTGGTTCCTGGCCTTTGGGAGTGATCGAAACATGCGAGAAGGACGAAGACGATTTAGTAAGAACTGTGATGGTGCGTATGAAGGAAGGTACCGTGAGAAGAGATATAAGAAAGCTTTGTCTTCTTGAGGGAGTAGAAGAAAGATAGAGTATGCAGACAGCTAGGTAGATAGAGCCACGGCTGAATACACAGAGGTGTTTTGCGTGTCTGGAGGGATTTTGGTGGCCGGTGTAAAGGAAAAATGATCTGAAAATCCCTCCCGATCACCCTTATTTGATTGTATTGACATTTATTTTAACATTTTTACCCTCGTTATGGATGGTGTACCTTTGACCCTCGCCGGTGTAATGTTATTTGCTTGTTTAACTGTCTTATTTGACTTTACACTCGGTATTTGCCTTTGTATGTTTGAGACTTATTATGAGTGTTTCACTTTCCTATTATGTGACGCTGGACTGTTGATAAGGTGATGTTGTTTTACTGCGCACGACATTTTGTTTTGGTTCAACTTACGGTTGTGCAGTGATTTGACTGTTTGTCTTTTGACTGTCTACTGGGAACGTTTGTTTGTTGATTTGATTCCTGTAGGCAGAGTTTTGATCCCTTTTGCCGGGAATATTCCTATTGACCGACAGGTATTTAACAGTTGTATTTTTTAACCAGTTTTTACCGTGTAGTACGTATTTGTACCCGAGAACGTTTTAGACTGTATAGTTACCCAACGGCACTGTTGAGGTATTTTTGTAATTTGACATAACTTATTGTTGCTTTGATAGTACCACAGATTTTGTTACGAATCTACTATTGAATTACTACAAACCGTGTTTTGATATTTCGATCCAACCTTTGACTGTGCGTCACTCGCGGAAGTTAGGAAGCTATACAGTAGAACGCAGGAACTAGTCAGATTCACGTCAGTTGGCACCGCCTAGCTATTTCCCGCGTTCAGGCCAAGATTATTGGATTCTGGCCGCTACAGTCACTATCCCTTTGGAAATTGTCTTCCTGGACATGCTTTGCATCGGAGAATGTGTACATTCGACGTTTATTGATGCTAGTCTTGATAAAGGCATGAAATGGTTTTCTATACGATACCTTATGTGTCTATTACCTCTTAACAAGGATCTGAGAGTGACCTTAAAGGCCACCCAAGCAATAACTGAAATAACCAATCAGATTTCTCTATTTTATGAAAATCCGCCTTTCCAGGCGAAATAAACAAAAACCCAATAGGTTATTTCGATCCTTGCTAGGGTGGCCTTTAAGGTCACCCATGAAGAGGTAATGGCTAACTCTCAGATACATTGGCAGAATGGATAGAAAGTCTTCTTACTAGTCAGCGGTTTCTACGTATAGATGTAGTCCAAATATTTGACCTTGGTCAAAGTTAGTGTCGTTGATATTGTATTGTTTGAGAGGACAATTTTTACACTTTAAACTTGGCAGTTAATGGTCTAGTAAAATAACCATATAAAAAGATATATTCCCAATTGATTTTCTTGGTTTTGGGGAGAAATTAATTTTGCTTTTTGTGTCTTTCAGTAATCTGACAACAGTATTCTAGTGATCCATGCAGATTTTCGTGTATCAAAATGATGTGGGTCTATAATGAGTGTTACTGTAATCTAGGGGTGCTTTTATACTGTCTAAAGTTCCGCTTGGACTTTATTCACTTGGCGATGGCTAAGTTTGGAATCTGGGTGGCTCGTTTCGTCCCGCCTGAGACTCGCCAGCTGGATGTTAATGTCTTCACTGAAATTCGTGCTCAACGCCAAGAGAATAACATCAAGATGAAACTTGAGACATTTGTTCAAGCAACATAACTCGATAACCGTACTGACCGGAAGAAAACTCAACCAGCTCTGTAAAATTCGTATGACACTGTTAGGTACTCTGCAGTCGTTTCGTGAATTTATTCCCACGTATATAGGTGCAAAAGAGTCAAGTTTCACTTACCGTAAAGAATTATGATGAAACTTGTTATAACTACCGAATGCAGTTAGAATGCCTAAACCAATACTGTAACTGAAAAATATTTGAGTCCCTGCATCAGACCATACCTTGAAAGAAGAGAATGTTGACAAAAAAAGAATTCAATAGAATACAGACTGGATAAACAGTTTGGCATACATCACATATAATGAGAAATACCAGGTAAGAAACATCAGGTAATCGTGTTTTTGCTGTTTTTTGACGGAAACCAATCGCTAGAAAGAACCCAATCTAAGTAAGGCACGCCCATGACCTGTGGTGACACACGCATAGAAAATGGTGACCGTCCGCTACAACGCTGCCCGGACAACCATCTGCTGTTGGCTACCACGAATTTCAGACATAAAGAGAGTGATTGTCTGACATAGTGTCCACCGACCACAACTCAACGGTGGTCACAGATAGATCACACTGCTAACGGCGATAACTGAAGAAAGTTGGCACGAGAATACCCTTACTTCTGAAGCACATGTTTAGATATTAGGTGATCAAATATATTAGATGGATGGAGATAGTTGGCACAAAGTCCTCTTCCAACTAGGTTTTGTGTTTGTTAGCACTTATCAATCAGGAAGGCATTTCTGCAACCTCGACGAAAATGATGTCGTGCCTGTGATCCGAACCCTCATCATCCCTTGCTGCAGTTAGAAATGTTACTACTGAGTTGTCCAGGCCAAGACTGGCCTCTTATAGGACTGATTAGGTGCACGGGTTGGTCGCTGGCGGGTAACCAACTTCACGTTGTCTAGTCTCAAGTGCTGATTGGATTTTGTCAATCATTGTTTTGATCAAGCCTACATCTGCTACTCAATTAACATAGGGAAATTACGGCAGGAAAATCATTTCATGCGTACACGAATGCACTCAGACAGGCTCCAGGCACACTGAAGAACGACAGTAACTTAACTGTAGTCTGAGAAAGAGTCAACATAAAAATCATAAGTAGTGATGGGTGAAGAAGTCTAGAGGGATTGAAAAGGCAGCGGTGATACATAGTAGTAAACAGTTCTTTAGATCTGTTGAGGAAATTGGAGTAAAAACTTGTATACTTAGTAAGACTAAAGGTGTCTTCATCGACTGAGATAGATGGGACATGTGTTACGTTTGCCTAGTCGCCATCTGCCTCGTCACACAATGTTGGTCGAAGTAGGTTCAGGCCAGAAAAAGGCTCAGAGCGGCCAGACTGAAACATGGCATCAATGCATGAAGTCATTGACTGTTCGTCTGAGATATGTAGGGCGATCCAAACTAGCTGATTGGGGTCCACGGGACAAGAGAAACCAGTGATTGGAGTCTCTGGGTGATATGGCTCAGAACAGACATCAGTGGCGCGGATGCATACTCACATTATCCTCACCTAACCACTATACTCAATCTCAACATTTTCTCACTCTTCCTCCTTCTCTTTTTCTACTTTCTACTTCTACTTCCTTTGACTGATTTTCCTCTCTACATCTTCCATTTTATTGCCTTGCTACTTGATGTGTTGATATGAGATGTGGTAACTCGGACCGTTATGCAGTAATGCTTGGTCCTAGGTCGATCTTGATGATAGTGAAGACTAAAAAGAGGAAAATAGGTCTGTGATTCACATGCAGGACAACTGAAATGATGCGTAAAATACCTCGGTAAAGAGTTCAGCTGGCCTCTAGCTACTATTTGGTTGCCTGTCATTCGACAGCAGTCCTAAAGGAAAATTGGAGCAAGGTCTTTAATTCTCGTAGGAATTGCTAAGGCTTTGTGTGAGCTTACATAACACAAAGCAGAAAACCCCATCAGTATTTAAAGGCGTTTCTTGAGGATTATTGGTTAGACATCAAAATAAGAGAAAACCCATGTTGCAGTGTCGGCAAACGAATCGGCCTGAAGAAATTAGCGTCTTTGACTCCAAGTTACACAGTTATCACATGCTAAAGTTAAGCTCAGAAGACAAACTGGAGAAAACAAAACGATTTTTAGACTTGGCCATTGGTGAATCAACCAAATCTCGGAATACAGCCATAATTACCGATACCTGGGATCAGATATTTTTCCTCACCTGAAATTAGTATTGAATTCCATCGACTAATATGATAGTGTCTCCAACTAAAATGCGTATCTGGAAGGTATATCACTTTATTGGGGGTTATATACTCAAACATTCGTCGTTATGTCTGAGCGGATATTGAACTTCTATTTGAATTGTCCAAGTCAGCTGGTGTTCATAAGTTATATCTTCTCTTTACCTGACTTTATAGGGATTGTTCTCATCATCTGATAATCTTTAGTCGACTTAGAGTAAGCGGACGATATAGTCTTGTAAGATGAAGGCTGTGATACGATGAAGAATATTCTTAACACCTTTAGTGACATTATGAAAGAGTTTTGAATGTATTTCTCACATCTTGAATTCAGATTGATAGTTCAGGATTTATGTGTGTTGATACTTTAGTTGAGAAAATGAGTGAAGCGGTTGAACGCATTCAACAGTTGAACAACTTGGGAAGCAGGATCGACTCCTGTGAATTTTTGGTTGTCAAAATGATCACGGATACAAAAGACTTACTAAAATTTCACTTACTGACTATATCTGTAGCGCTGGTAAGAGCTCTTAACACTACTTAGTACCCAAGTATATTGTGACCCATTCCACTGTTATACAATATCTCTTCAAAGCATGCTTGTTAAAGTGGAAACCAGAAGAAGACTTCAGAAGCTTGACCGTCATTTCCTTCATAACATTGGCTATATATTATGAAACTATTATATTAGTAATTTACCGGTTAGTAAATTCTTTCTCAGAAGTTATTAGTCAGTTGATCCAGTTGTAGTCCTTCATCAACCCAATTGGCTTTCAGGTTAGAGTTTACAAAGGAGCCATTATCCTATGGTTGGAGATTTGTACGTACTCTGACTCAGAATTGATCTCAGTAACACAGCTGCAATTATGGCTTTAAGGTGTAAAAAGACACTAGATATCATTTATTCATATTTGTGGTGTAGGCGACAACCAATCCATCACAAGTGTTCTTGACGTGTCTATATTTCTCTCTGATTCGTTATTGGCAGCCTTGGCGAGTCGCCTACGCTTTTTAACATTTTGTACATTTACCATATGTATCTTTTGCTAAATACAGTTGTACAATAGTATTTTATCGTACTTCTACAACCATCAAATAACCTTGAAGTTGAAGGTGATAAGCCCTCGCTCTAGAAAGTTTCGAGAATGAATGTCTCAGATTATAGACAGGTTTGTGCAGAATTTTGGTTTTCATAATCTCGACTGAATCGGCGGGATTTATTTCTCATATGATCTCGCAGTATTTATTAATTCGAAGACGTTTCTCTCTTACCAGTAGTTCTGAAAAGAGTACTTAATCGCTGTTTGTTTGGTGCTTCATGACGTAATTCTGAAGTTTTTTATCTTGAGATCTGTAGGTTTTCGCCTTATATCTTACTTCATGAACATGATCTTCATTTTTAATTCTCAAACTTCGACTCCTAAATCTTTCAACAGAGATTCATAAAATTGATTAAAAGACGATAGGAGACCAACGCTTGAAGGCTCATTTACGTCTGTATCACAGTTCAGGTGGATTGGTGCCATGAAGTCATATAGAGTAGCATCTTCATCGTACCTACTCTTCAGGCAGCATGTAACAGTTGTACAACTCACAAGGTCCCAAACACTGTTAAAAAGCTATATCTAGTTTAAGAAATATACTACTGAACAACAAAATGAGTAGTTAGAAACCACTCAGGCTGGTCTGTAGTATTTCACCAGACGGATCAGAGTGATCTAAATACCGGTCGGCCTTCGTGCTCGTTTATGAGCCGAGCTTATCATGGTTGGCGTACCCAGGTAACTTCAACTCACAGAGACAGCCCAACTGTTTAGATCACCTGAATCAGGCTAACTGGCTGACCTGAATGAATCAGGATGATCAATTTGCAAATGATTTAAAGATTGCTCGGTCCACGTTGACAGGTGAGAAGTTTTTCAACTGCTGCCCAACCGTGGTGTTAACTCACATCTGGTCAACCAAGATGACAAGGTGTGATTTCTGACAAAAGAGTGTCGTGGACTAACGAAGTATACTACTGTTCATCTCAAATAGTCAGAAACCAGTCAGGCTGATTTGTAGATTCTTGCAGCCAGATCAGAGTAATCCGAACAACACTGGACGGCCGTTTACCAATTGAAGATAAGTTTACATTACTTATAATGCCAAGGTTAACACTGAAATGCTTTCTGATCATCAATATTTGATAGTATACAGAACAGCACAACTACTTACTGTCTTATCCGTTAGTTTAGACCAATCCGGTTTAAGGTATTGAATAAATCCATATCCAGCCCCATCAAGTAAAGAAGTTCGTATCAGCAGAGTGATCATAAATGCATATGGCAGAAGTGCGGTGAAATACATGATCTATAGTGATAAATAAATGAGCAAAAAAGGTTATCAAGTTAATTATTCATAGGTATATCAGCATGGACTGGTAACAGTTGGAGAACCATTGAAAATCTGGGAGCACTGGAGGTTTCTTTCGTCCTATTGCGGGACACCTTAACAGTTCGCAATTACAACCCCGTCAAAGATCGAACTCAGGGTTACCAACTCTTCTAACAAGCACGTTAACAACTAATCTTAGCGGATGATGAATATTGCTTTGAAAACATTGTAAACCAGACAACTTCAATGACCGCATTAGTGATACAATTGAGGACCTAAATGTCTCTTTATCGAGGACATTTTCATCCGGCCAAGGGATTTTTATCGAATAGCTTACGTTTGTGATTTTTATCAACTTTCAGTATAGTATGACCATTATACAAGTGTTATCAACGGTTGTTAACCTAAGAGTCACACCTTCCTCTCTCAGGCTTCAAAAGTCGTTGGGAAGGATGTATGCTGGATATTAGATGGTTGGAGGTAGTTTACAGGAAGCCGTGCTTGGCCTAGCTTTCCTGCTTGTCGGTAGTCATCAGACCAAGCTGCATCTACAACCCCAGAGGAATTGATTTCCTGCCTAAGAATCAAATCCGTGTCATACAGTGTTGCAGCTACGAAGAAGTTACCACTGAGCTATTCGGAATGCGATTCAACCCCAGTACGACTAAATGGATACGACACATCGACTGGTCACTGCAGAGCAGTCACTTTCTTGTTCTAGTTTTAGTTCTGGGTGTTGACTGGATTCTATCCATCATTTTGCAATGTGGCCATCAAGGTAAGGGGCTAAGCATCACCGAGGTTTAAGGTGTCACGACAAGGACAAATTGATGCTCAATACCTATATTGTATCCAATTGGACCCTATTAGAATATGTTTGGAGAAAAGATTTTCATAAAAAATTATATCACAAAAGAGTATCATACACTGACCAATAAAATGACAGACAAAATGAACGTAGAACCTAACACAGAAGAGGATCGGTTCAAGCTGCTATGCTTCACAGCAGTATACAAAGAACAAGTGGACAGAAAAAATCTGATATCAAATGAAGACAAGGAGGCAAGGCGAAACAATTTGACATCGAAGGTTAGTCAAAACGTTTAGGCTTTCAAAGATGTCCAAGAGTGAATATTTCACATTACATTCGTTCATTTGATATATAGCACACAGCTATACAACATTATTTACTCGGTGAAGTTTAGAGCATAAATTATTGGTCATAGCCATATCAATACGATTATACGCGACTACAACCCATAAAAGTACTCAACTTTCACAGTTATATTGAAGAATGAAAAGATCTGCACCATAGTAGCCGCTTTCCACGCATATCATCAAGAGTCTTCAACCATTGATTCGAATTATCTGAAGGACCCCAACCAGACGGTCTACATTTCCTCATACAGCCCAGATCGATAGTTAGCGACTTCATAAACTGGTGCCACATCTACGCCTCATCACCCCGAATCCCCTTCTAACATAATACAATTCCCACTAGCTAGAACGCAACGTCAAGATAGGTGTAGACTCGCCATGCACAGCACATGTCTAAGCCACCTCTCAGCCAATGAAGGTTCACGATCTCATCAATTGACTTGCCTATCCTGCCTAGCACCCTTCACCTGACCTCAGCATTGCTCACACGGCGGTGATTCCATCAAACGAGAGCAATACTACGAAGACATGCATGGTGAGAAGCGGATAAAGGCTTGATGTCTTCTACTTTTGATGGGCATGTTCCACAGCCGTAGAGGCGCACGAGATAAAGGAGTTGAGTGGAGTGCAGTCTCCTCGTGCATTGATAGGTAGGTAGGTAGGTGGGTGTGTAGGTAGTCGTGTATGTGGGGAGTTGTGAAATTTGAAACAAGCCTTTTGTATGCGAGGTGAGATTTCGTTAGGAACCAGGATGTTCAGGTTGATGGAAGTGGCGAAGTGAAGTAAGTGAATTGGTCGACACATTGGACGACTTCACTGCGTATCGTTAAATGAAAGTCATTTGGAGACGAGTTGTGGAGCTTCCTTCATCTCACTCATATTTGACAGGTGCCGAACATACTGATATTTGTAGTGAACACGTGGAGAAGACCGTGACTTTACCAGCGTAATCACCAGACAGGACAATATCATCTGAGTACTCTAAGTGAATCACACCCTGCAGGAAGTAGATCAGTCTATGGGAAGTGAGACTTACTCACGCAGTTGTGTAAGGTCTCATGGACACTTGCCATCAGAATTGACGACAACTACTGGTGTCCGACAGCCATGCTCCCCCCTATCACCCTTTCTATTTCACTTCATTATACATGTACTGATCGACATAACCTTAGTTAGGTATGTCTGACTTCACAGGGATAGATTCACCTACTACTACTACTACTCCATCGAGGCCATCTGCTTGATTTCCAGTATGCAGACGATATTGTCTTGCTAGGTGAACACGCTGACAAAATCCACGGTCTTCTCCACGTGTTCACTACAAATATCAGTATGTTCGGCACCTGTCAAATATGAGTGAGATGAAGGAAGCTCCACAACTCGTCTCCAAATGACTTTCATTTAACGATACGCAGTGAAGTCGTCCAATGTGTCGACCAATTCACTTACTTCACTTCGCCACTTCCATCAACCTGAACATCCTGGTTCCTAACGAAATCTCACCTCGCATACAAAAGGCTTGTTTCAAATTTCACAACTCCCCACATACACGACTACCTACACACCCACCTACCTACCTACCTATCAATGCACGAGGAGACTGCACTCCACTCAACTCCTTTATCTCGTGCGCCTCTACGGCTGTGGAACATGCCCATCAAAAGTAGAAGACATCAAGCCTTTATCCGCTTCTCACCATGCATGTCTTCGTAGTATTGCTCTCGTTTGATGGAATCACCGCCGTGTGAGCAATGCTGAGGTCAGGTGAAGGGTGCTAGGCAGGATAGGCAAGTCAATTGATGAGATCGTGAACCTTCATTGGCTGAGAGGTGGCTTAGACATGTGCTGTGCATGGCGAGTCTACACCTATCTTGACGTTGCGTTCTAGCTAGTGGGAATTGTATTATGTTAGAAGGGGATTCGGGGTGATGAGGCGTAGATGTGGCACCAGTTTATGAAGTCGCTGACTGTTGATTTGTCTGATATCCTCGAGGCGATAGAGATCAATGGCTGAGGGCTGTCGATGACAAGGCCGAAGATCGATCATAACGGCTGAGATGTATTCACCCTTTTTGTCTTTTATAGCTGGAATATTTGCACCAAGCTTTATCATCAAATTCTTTATTCTGTCACAGAACTTTGTCTACTTTGATTTCAGTCTTTTTCTATCCAATTTTTCTCTAAATGCCACTGTGAAGTATGACACTTTGAACCAGTTCTCTTGTGTGCAAGATTCTGTGTTGATTTTATGTGTCCTTCCTAGGAGAAAACACTTTACTGCTCTCACATGCCTATACAGCCAGTAGTAAGACTTAGACCTCGGATCCCCAGCACTACGTAGTTATATACTCTGTAACAGTAACTGCTGTTTGTCTTACCACTCACTATTCAATAGACCTTTGTCGTATGGTAGGACTTCGAAGGAAAAAAATTTCAGCCAAAATACGTCTTTAGTTCACTGAAATAAACAAGCCTGACCACTACACCACACCAAGGCAGCAGCTATCGGTCAGGGTGTCCAGTTTCCTACTCAAACGTAATCATCAACAGTGCATAAAATCAAGTTTTTTTGACTTACCTTTGCTGAAGTTTTAATCCCCTTACAGATACACAAATAAATAACAATCCATGTAAGAAGAAGACACAAGGCTAAATCCCATTGTATTGTGCCCAGATTGTGTATTCCATCGGATATACGTAGGACACGGTTCCTGTCAAGACAGTGAGATAGTACATGCCGACAAATATGCATAAACTTGTTTCATAATAAAAGGTAGAATATAGATTTAGCGTTAATAATGTGAAACAGACAGCGTGAAAACTGGTTCCATATGTCTAGCTGTCTGTCTCAAGTGTAAGTAGGACACCTGACGGCTAATGTTGTATCATCATAGAAAATATTCTTTAAAAAACTTGGCGTTTTCAATAATCAGTCAGTCAGTATCCACATGGTACCTGGATAACGGTTCACTTTACCACACCTCACATAAGTAAATCAATGTACAAGGCACCAAGTGGATATAATCAATCTCTCTCTCCAACCAAATAAGTTCGCTCCTATGATTGTCACTGTGATCCACCCTACCGGGCGGTTGTGTGTTATTGCATGTAGGGATTAAGTCGAGCTTTCTTCTAAATTTCTTATCTTACTAGCATCTACCAATTTTGACCTAGCTAGGTTTCTGCGATTGGATAGACCAACTGATCCCGATCGACTACTCTCATCTATGTATTTGACCTCGCATTCGTTGCAAGCAATTTGGTAAACTAAATTATTCTGTCTAATTGGATCGGTCGCATCTTTTGACCCATAAAGTTTGCTTCTAAGTGAGTTTGTAGGTTTAAATGCCACTCTAATCTCAACTTCATTGAGAATTCTACGTAATATCTCTGAGGTGCATTTCTTGCATGATAATACTGCTACTGTAGAGTTTTGAATTCTCTCCTCACAACATTGCTGCCACTATTATTATTATTATTATTATTATTATTATTATTATTATTATCATTATTATTATTATTATTATTATTAACATTATTCTTAGGAATATTAGTCATTTTTTTATTACAACTCGTAAGGAACTTATCAATCAATTTACGAGGGTAATGGTTGGTGCGTAAAATGTCCTCAATTCATCTGATATTCCGTCTCACTGGTAAGCTATCTGCTCCTGTTACTAAGACATTTCACCAAGTCAACTTTAACTGACATAGGGTGAGATGATTTGAAATCCAAGTAACGACTCGAGTGTGAAGGGTTTCCCTATAGACACTAATGTCGAAACTCCCATCTTGTTTCCATTTTATTCTGCAATCCAACATCGCTAATTCCCCTTCACTATTTTATAATTCATAGGTGAATTGGATTGCGTTGACTACTGAATTTATATGTGTGAAGAAATTATGTGTGTACTCTAATTTCAACACTGTGAACGTGTCATCTACACATCGAAACATTACTCACCACCTAATCTGGATATATGGAAAACTATGCCACCTATATCACAAAGAAGGCGAGGAAATTAGATCTTTATGAAGGATGTGTCAAAGTTGTGTAGTTATCTTGATATGACTGTGGACAATAAACTGTGATGGAAATGTGATCTGTTCCTTCGTTGTGCATGATATGTCTCTATAAATAGACTAAAATGAAATCAGTTTTTGTCATAGTGACCAAAGTTTACTCTTGTATTGATCTTATATTATTTCTACCATACCAACAGTGTGTGGGGTCTCCAGTTTTGTCAACCTAAGAAGGCGAGTGGCAGAGATCTCTGTAATCGGAATCCTGGATGACATGGACTCGAACCTCTGGGAAGGTTGTAGATAGGCTTTGGTCTCATGAGTGCCAACAAGCATAAAATATGGGGTAGAGCAGAGCTTCTTGCCGATCACCTCTAGCCAACTCACACAGACTCATTCAGTTGTAATTAGCTGGATGGTAGCTAGCAGCGGGATTCAAAACGCGCGTTTCATTTTATTTATCACTAACCAGTCAGCTTTAGGTGGCTGGGGGACGTTCACCCTACTGAGTGATGTCGCTTTCACTGAGACTTAAACCCAGCAGCCATAGCTCCAAACGTCAGGGTACTACTCACTGTGTCCTTTAGGCCTTAGAACCAACAACCTAGTGCACAAGGCTTTGACGTTTGAAGCGATGGCTACTGGGTTTCAATCTCAGTGAGAAGAAAATCACTCACAGGCATGGTGGTGACTGACTGACTGAGAGAACGAAGGTAAAACCTGGCACACAGGTGGATCGGCTCAATTTGCCACACTTCACACTTGAAACACAGTAGTACACAAAGAACAGGTGGATAGGATAGGATAGGATAGGAAAAGAGTGATATGAAAGTAGATAGAGTAGTGTGAGAGAGAGAGGGAGAGAATAAGCAATGTGAAGGTTAGTGTAAATATGCCAAGCTTTAGAAGATGTGAAGGGGTGAATAGGGGTGACTGGGCGATTGTGATCGATTTTCAGGCATGTCACGAACAGGCCTCAAGGACTGACTTCTATTGTCTCAGGGACTTCATCGACTTGTGCCACGTCTTGCTCTGGCTACCATGAACCCTTTTCCATCCTAATACAACTTCCCTTAGCTTGCACGGTACGTGGAGGTAGGCGGTGGCTCGGTATGTCCAGCAGATATCCAAGCCATCCCAGGTAAATACGGCTGATGCGTCCCAATTAGGATGAAATGCACCACCTAGATTCCACTGCTAGTCACGAAGTAAGTTAGAGCATAATGAATAGTCAGGCAATATCGAGGCCTTCGCACAAAAGTCTACCCACCAACATAGTTCAATCAATTTGATCCAGCATAACAAAGCGGAATTACAAGTATATCAACAACAAAATTTACTCTGTTATAAAATGTATCAAATTTCAGATTAGTATGATCCTGTTTCATAGCGAACTATGAAAAAATAAGTGACCCCATCATAAGAACATAACATCTAACTATCAGTACATAATCACTATCAAATTAAATTATTTAACAATAATTATGAGTAGTACATTACTGTGACAATTTCAAACGAACCCATAGACACAAAAACAACGGGGTCAACACTATAACATATTTTTTGTTCAAAGTAAAGTTTTAATGTTAGTGAGTGAAAAAATATACATTAAATAAGGTCAATCAAAGTCGGGCATGAAATTGGCCGTTTGACGATAAAAGGGTGATTCCATATCTTCTGCGTCTTTGATGCAATGAAGAGTGAAGGTTAAGATCCTGCAGTTGTTCTTCGTAGGTTAGACTAGCCATCGCAGGGATCATACGAATGGCTATCCTCTGAACTCTTTTCAGAAGGTCTGAGTAGCCTTTCATACTACGATTTGCCGCTTGTGCACAGTTTCCTAGTTTAGATCTGTGTACAAGATGGGGAACCTACCACCAATTATCTTCGTAAAAATTCTACCTAATGCCCAAACTGTCCTAAGACTCCAAGGTGATACCAGTCGATAGTGCGTTGTGGTCTTCACATAGTGACATACTATAACTTGTAGGTCATTGTGGATCAGCACTGAGGGAAGAGGAGTCCTACCAGTATCATACGTTTTGCCATCTATATGTGTTATGTGCATGCTCACACACTCCCCTGTATTGATAGCCATCATCCATCTCTCATATCAGGTTGACAAGCTGTTTAAGTCTATCTGAAGTGAGCGGACATGGTTGTCGGCAGATTTTTACACCATTAGCATAGGGAATTTCGTGATATTCAGCGGTTCGTTGATGCAGAGAAAAAATAGCGGGGAATATAGGACTGTGCTATGTGACACTTCACTTTCTATCTACTTCCAGGACAGGAGTTAGGAAATAATCCTTACCTTCTATCTACCACCAACAAGAAACTCTCTGATCCATGCAATCCAAAACCTTTCAGGTAAATGAGCAACTTGAAATGAGGAGTCATTTCGAACGTTTTACTAAATTCTATGAAAACGACATCTACAGGCATCTTATTATCCTAAGAATGCACCCAACTTTCTCTGGCTGTAAAATACAAAGTGATTTAGAGAATTTCGTCAACGTTGCTCATTACATATAATAATTTGCTTTTCATCTGAATGTTAGTATGAACTGAAGTGAAATATCTTTTAAATAATCTTATCTTCGACGAAACAGGATGTATGCAGAACGTTTGAAAAATGACAATGACAACAGTACATTCTGTAGGATTAATCAAACCTTGGTTATCATAAACTTCAGAAAAGCTGCAGTAACTCAAATTGGTATTAACCTATGAAAAGCGATGAGATAAAAAGTGTATCTGACAGCCTATCGCATAGAAAGTGATTTCATTTTAGTCTATTTATAGAGACATATCATGCACAACGAAGGAACAGATCACATTTCCATCACAGTTTATTGTCCACAGTCATATCAAGATAACTACACAACTTTGACACATCCTTCATAAAGATCTAATTTCCTCGCCTTCTTTGTGATATAGGTGGCATAGTTTTCCATATATCCAGATTAGGTGGTGAGTAATGTTTCGATGTGTAGATGACACGTTCACAGTGTTGAAATTAGAGTACACACATAATTTCTTCACACATATAAATTCAGTAGTCAACGCAATCCAATTCACCTATGAATTATAAAATAGTGAAGGGGGAATTAGCGATGTTGGATTGCAGAATAAAATGGAAACAAGATGGGAGTTTCGACATTAGTGTCTATAGGGAAACCCTTCACACTCGAGTCGTTACTTGGATTTCAAATCATCTCACCCTATGTCAGTTAAAGTTGACTTGGTGAAATGTCTTAGTAACAGGAGCAGATAGCTTACCAGTGAGACGGAATATCAGATGAATTGAGGACATTTTACGCACCAACCATTACCCTCGTAAATTGATTGATAAGTTCCTTACGAGTTGTAATAAAAAAATGACTAATATTCCTAAGAATAATGTTAATAATAATAATAATGATAATAATAATAATAATAATAATAATAGTGGCAGCAATGTTGTGAGGAGAGAATTCAAAACTCTACAGTAGCAGTATTATCATGCAAGAAATGCACCTCAGAGATATTACGTAGAATTCTCAATGAAGTTGAGATTAGAGTGGCATTTAAACCTACAAACTCACTTAGAAGCAAACTTTATGGGTCAAAAGATGCGACCGATCCAATTAGACAGAATAATTTAGTTTACCAAATTGCTTGCAACGAATGCGAGGTCAAATACATAGATGAGAGTAGTCGATCGGGATCAGTTGGTCTATCCAATCGCAGAAACCTAGCTAGGTCAAAATTGGTAGATGCTAGTAAGATAAGAAATTTAGAAGAAAGCTCGACTTAATCCCTACATGCAATAACACACAACCGCCCGGTAGGGTGGATCACAGTGACAATCATAGGAGCGAACTTATTTGGTTGGAGAGAGATTGATAGGAGATACTTCGTTTATCGAATCAGCACCAAGCGTTTTCAACTGGGATGATACTCGGCAGCTGTTCCGCGTGCATAAAAAATATTTATGGACATATTACAAAGCAGGCGAAAATATTAGAACCACGTAAATCACGTCTCAAAGTAGTGACGTTAGCTTGATATGACTATGGACAATAAATTCTGTCGGAAACGTTATCCGGTAAAAATACCGTTTCCCTGTGCGTGATACATATAACACATCGACTAAAATAGGATCGGACGTGTTTAAATGAACAAACGGAATGTTTTACTGAAGATCTCTGGTTTTTCCTATGGAAACCACAATGTACAGACCATATAATATGATCCGTCCGACCCGATAATTAGTATCAAGAATTCATTGATGAAAGCCAGACCAACTTTATTACTGAATGACTGAGGTGAGCAGTAGTAACCTATACACACCGATCAGCAGTGCTGGCCAGCCAGAACAGGGTTATCTGAACTCGGGACTACTGTTTAGCTCGTCTGAGAATTGATCTCATCGCCAGTGGACCCAAATTGATTAAGGTCAAAGAGCTACGTGAGCACACTGGTCATACACCTAGAATCTAACAGCGCGTTTGAAAAATACAGAGTTGATCATTTGCACCTGGATGACTTTTTCTATGCAGTCTCGGGACAATCAGTTCTTTGGAAACAAACGTTGAAAGACAGATATACAAGCAGATATTGTAGGTTGGATATGTCTAAGTACTTTACTAATGAACCTTCTTCCACAACACTCACGTTGCTATCTACTATTAAAAACTGATAAGTGGATTGAGGAAACACTGGTCCGCAAATGAGCCAAGCAAAATAAACCTCGTGTCAATCGCAATCGATCAACCAATCAGTACTATTATTTTAAACGCCTGACTAGGTATGTATTTAGATACATTCTCGTATCTTTTGTTTTCGGTCTTCAGCTTAAATGTGCGTTTACTACACATTCTAGTGTATCTTCTCCACTAAGTAATCGGATTGAGTGTCAGCTAGGATGTTGTCGAATTTTACTGACTGAAAGTAGATATCCGTGCATCGTTAGTGGCTCTAGCAGCCTGAAATCACCCTAAAATCCTCAAACTTGGTAATATTGTTTATATTCAACTACTCGTATTAGTTAGTAGTACGTTTCAAAAGCAAGAAAATACACTTGACAAGAAATTTCACCAACCTTCAAATACACTTACTCCCAGTATTCTGTAGTTGCGTCGACAGCTAGCACACTACGGTTACTCATTTGACTACTACTGCTGGTAGCAGTATTAGTGGTAGTATTGTCAGGTATGCTAAAATTTACTGGTTGACGATTTGTGAAGACAGTGCATGCTGGTGTATTCCACGGCTGACCACACTTGGTCCATGGTAATTCTCTGGTGAACGATGAGAAAATAAAGTGGAATGCCCATGCCAATATTACAGTATAGTAGCAGTTGAGAAAGAAGTTGATCAGTGTACATGCGAAGCCGATACCTTGAGATGGTGAAAAGAAAATCATACAGAGACAGTCTGTTTCGATATTTATAGAACAGGGATATATCAATCAGCATTCTGTCCTAGAATAAAACCTGATTTAATAATCACCGATGGTCCTCTGTACGTTGTCCTGCAGCTCTTTCAAAGAAGGTCCAGTTCTTTTATTTACTGATAATTGTAATTTCCCGTTATTTTACTGGTTGGAATTGCTCAACGTCTGTTGGCAAAGGTGCTGCCTGAACATTTAGTATATTGTAACTTACCTTTTGGATAGCTGTGGAATCGATCACGTGTTTTTGTCGTCAGCTAAATGTACCTTCAGCCCACTGGAATTCAAACCCAGTGCCCATCACTTCAAATTCCAAAAGATTGTCCACTAATCTCCTGAGGTATGAGGGTCAGTTCTTGTGCAACAGATATCAGTTACCATTTATTGATAGTCAGTCAAAACTGATCGACTTCCGTGGACAGATGGGCTCCTGTGCAGAGGCCTGGATACCATCTGGATAGTTATTTTATTCATTGTATTCCTCATGTTGGTCATGCTGTTTTGAAAGTGTTCTACCCAACGACTCACGTAAGTGAATACAATATTGGATATTGATACAAATGCTTGTATTATCCCGTCATTGACCTGCCACTTTTGGCATATGGGCACCTGGGCCGACGAGTTCCAAATAGGACGAAATTCGCGCCCTGAAACCCATTGCTAGTCACCATCCATCACCACTATCAGATCTTAGATACTGCTGGCGAAAATACACGGATACTTCCAATCTAGAATCTTCCTAATTTGTGTATTGAAATGGATGATGATGATAATCTTGTGAAATTTCCTCAGCACTACCCAGATTTTCAGTTTGACAGTTGACATTTTAACTGATGAATAGTTACGAAATATTCTCTGGTTTAACAGAAACATAAACATCTGACATGCTTCGACATCAGTCTTTCTATTCCATAATTCAACCTCGTCCGTTATTGAACGAGTGTTGTCAAAGTGGGGAATACTTTTATCATGCTATTTCCTCTCTGAGACTTTTCAGATTGAGAAAGATGCTGATAGCGAACGACTGTCACTAGCATAATTGACATATACACAACATATGTACACATCAATGCATTCAAGCTATGCAGATGACTCACCTTGGAAAAGTGGGCAAATATTCCAAGCAGCTATAACACCTCGACGTGTAAGTTGGCCAACAGTTACTTCTAATAAGAACAACGGGATGCCGGCTAAGAAAATACTTATGAAATATGGGATCAGGAAAGCACCTGATGAAAGTGAAGAAGTGAACGAAAAGAAGAAAGTAGATTACTTTATCGTACTTTGAAGCTGGTTGTTTTGAAATATATCGGCTAACTGTATTCCTTCAGGTTTAAGCCAACATTTGTAGTTTAATTTCAAAAGGATATTCATCCCAGACTGACATTAGATGGAGAAGCACTGAAAACCATAGATTGTTGAACAACTCTTTTGCCATAGTAAAGGAAATCTTAGAAGTGCGCACACACGGGATCGAACCTAGAATCTTCACCTTTATCACATCATACAAGAGGTGTAGTCTTTCAAAACTAGGATAGTTTTTTCTCTGTACAATGTAGCCAAACTTAGGACCGATTACTCACCAATGGCTGGAGATGGCAAAAATGGTCGATTTACAGACAAACGACATGACATCGGTCACTCTCCCACCTTTATTCACATTTCACATATGAATTAAACTATTTCAGCAATAATGTTCATCTTTATGTATACAGAGATCTTTTGACGCTTTTCAGTATCAATTCTATCCCAAATTCTGTTTAATTTCCTATTTTGATGTCAACCCTCATACGTTTTATGCTTTCACTTCATACTACGTATATCTGTTGAGTAGCACAATATTTTCTTTGACAATGTTACGCTATTCATTGATTTAATTGTTGCGTTTCATGAAAGTTGCATTTAGTTCGTCATATTAGGGTTTAGATATGTTGCTGCCTTTCCTGTCCGACGATTGTATTTTACTTGATATGTTGTCTCCTCCTAAACATTTGTTTACCTTATACCTTCTACTTTACTCTGGAAATCGTCCCGTTTTACACATTTCCCTATTTGGTTTGCTTAAGACACAGCTCCGATGAAATATTTTGTTCTAACCCTTCTTGTAAAATGTCGATTTGCCGACAGATACTTAACGATTCAAGATTTGTAATTTATCAGCAATCGTTTTTATTTGCTAGTGGAATGAAATAAAAAATTATATTAATTCAAACAGACTCAGTGTTTTGGATTTTCTGCGTTACTTTGCTGTTCGGTTTTTTGTTCGAGAAACAAAGAACCGTTTGATTTCGAATTTCTGGGACGAATTTCTTGATTTGTGCTGGTGTTGTCGTTATACTTAAGAAAAGTGCCACCATCCATATCACATTTTATTTGAGCATTTCCTGTCAGCGCAATGACAAGTGTAGTTAGATATGACTAGTTCAAACAAAAACCATACCACTGTGTATGTGACACTACGGAAAGCCAGGATATCATTCTCATTAGTACTGTACTCAATTCCTCCTGAAAATAACTTGAGAGTTACGAAGGTCGTGTAAGCCACCAAATAGTTGGAGATACCCTTTACTAGTGAGTCCAAACACGGACGAAATCGAGATTGAGCAGGGTTTCCTACCCACTGACCTCCAACCTCAGTTGTGCACTGTTGACCAATTCGTGTACTAAAGTAAATAAATAATCCTGCTCATGTCAATTCTAACTGCATTCAGGAATTTATTTACATTGATAGGAATGAGAGAATGGCATCTATTCAATTCTCTGAGCTCATTATGAAGAATTTATACTTGAAAGGAAGTAAGGCTCTAACGAATACAATTATATGATCCTTTATTGTTATCTAAACACCAAGTGTACAGAAACATCTTCTATAAAACGGTTTCAACTGGACAGTATGATCAATCACTTCTGTGGTGACTGTGATTTGATCTTGTTTCATGCAACAGCTTGTAATCTCCCACTATTGGCTGGACTGAATTGGTGGTCTAATACTGATGTATTGGCTGAAGTGCGAATGGTTTGATATTATTACTGGCAATTTTAGTTTTATGGTGAGGATGAATAGTGGCTAGCAGAGGAACCCAGACGAAACGCGCGTCCTGGATTCCGTAATTTCACTTTTTTGATTTTACTGACACAATTCTTTAGATGACTTTACTACTGATTTCAGCTCATCGGGTTATTCGTATATTCCTGTGGATATCATTACTTTGCATGTTAAAACTGTTAAAACTTTGTCCGGTTGTGATTGGCTGATTGACGTGATTCTGTCAATTCAGTCCTACCGCTGACCTTGCACGTGACTGGTCGCCGTTGTACTTGTCTTCTCTTCTATCATACTCAATCCACACACACACACACACACACACACATGATGAGTCACGCAATTCAGTCTTCCTAACCAAGCGCTGACATAAAAACAACGTCAGGCCGTCTGATTCATTCGTATGTGCAGTACAAATGAAGTACCTGACCACAGCGGGCCATAATTTACAGAGGTGAAACAACTGATTTCAAGCACAAAATAGGGGATGGTGCATAACAATGGGTTCCACTCAATATGTAGTTATTTCTGAAATATAGGTCATACTTAAATGGATCTAAGGTCAACCGAAAGTTCCTACACCTAGCTATACAACAGTGATGTTACCAAATAAGTTATGAATAGACTGAGTTTTAAAAATTCATGTTGCCCACTTTCCCGAAGACATAACAGTTACACAATCAATCAACCTCTATTTGTTGTTCTTTATTTTTCACTTCTTACCCTTCGTGTACAGTTCTTGAACGTTCTGTCACGTAATACGTAAATTAACAATGATATGACAAACCTTGATTGGTTACTGGAGAGCAGCCAAGGGCTGATCGAATTCCATTGACCATTTTCCAATGTTGGCACCAAGCAAGGAGGGTCAGTATCGTGATGCCCCTCAATAAGTGTCACTTTGTAGGAGGCGATCGGAAAGAAACCTTATCCGACCCACGTTTCATACTCTTTGTAGCTTACTTGCAAGGAGTTTTGTCAACTTTCACAGAATTGATACCTTCCGCAAGAGATCCGAACCCAGGTCCCCCAATGTTGCAGTAGGCGACGTTACCTCTAAAATACTCGGGACGTGACTCAACTCTTTTGAATTCCTCGAAAAATTTATCATACACGAGTTATCATTCACTATTTTGTAAAAATGACAGAAATCACATTTTTCTAAAAATTTCGATGTTCTTTCTTCATAAAAACTTATCAGTGGTGGAAGATAAATGCAAAAAAAACGAAACTGTCATATACGTCGGCGACATAAATTCCAGTGTTGACTGGAGCATTTAAATACCTACCAACGATGACAAGTGAAATTAGAATAGGCATGTCAAATTTTTCGGCTTATCAAGTGTATGAATTTTGCAGATAAGATTTCTAGTTCGTTTTTTTTGGAATTCATTGTATGATGGCTCCTACTTTACATGTTGATGTAAACTCACTAGCTACCATACTATATTGTTGCCTGTTAATGAGAGAACACTTATCACGAATTGATTAACAACACTGTACGTGATTTGTTGGACGATGGGAAGCTTTACTTCATTTAGGTTTCGTCTTTGTTGGCACTCTTCAGACAAGACCTAACTACAGTTATGAAGAGATGTAACTACTAAGCCATTCAGTCCATGACTGTGAAAGATACATTCACAATTCCAATTGTGACATCAAAAACAAGATATTCAGCGGAGAGGACTCTTTTCAACGAATTTATGTTCAAGCTGTACATATATATACATATATATCAAGTGATTCACTATGGAAAGCTCAGTGATGCCTATGAAGTGAAGGCAGGAGTAAGACAAGGTTGACACCTACTATCGTCACCGATGATCTTACTGATTGTGGTCAACTGGACTGGACTGGATCATGCAACAGACAACTGTGAGGAGCGAGAAGATGAGCATACGCTAAGTGGACCGATGAAAAGACCCTAGAAGAAGATTTGGAATTCGCCGCTGATGATGACTTATATCTAATGTGTTGTGGCACAAACTCGAAGATCTACAGGCGAAACCTGACAATTTGGTAGAAGAGGTGAGGCAGCGAATACAGGACTTCAAGTGAACGTAGAGAAGGCAGAGGTGATGAAGATAGCCAACCAACAACAACAATAATAACAAGCACCGATCACCATCAAGTGGAGACATCTGAAGGAAGTAATCTCTTTCATCTACCTACCCACCTACCTGGGCAGCATCGTTTCAACTGCATGCGGTGTCACAGATGAAGACGTCAAAGCAGCCATGATCGGAAAGACAACAAGATACGTCTTCATTAACCTGAAATCAGTGTTGAGATCTACTACACTCAGCATAAAGCGTGAACAAGATCCGGATTTTCAACACTAATTTAGTCAAGTCAGTCAGTGCTTCTATGTGATGGTTGAGAGACTTTGTGTTACAAAAGGCATTTCCAACAAACTACAAACATTTATCAAGGGCTGCCTACGCTCGTTACTGAAGATTAGATGGTCAGAATAATAAGAATAAGCAACAAGGAACTCTGGCTGGCTGACTGGCAACGAACCAACCAATCAAAAACCCATCGCCCAACAAATATGCAGAGGAAAGTGGAGATGGAAGGGGCATTCATTTAGAAGACCGTTTCTGGACATCATGCGGCAGGCCAGGCCCTCGAGTGGAATCCAAATATATATATATATATATATATATATATATATATATATATATATATATATATAGTTTGAGCACAACTTCGTTGAAAAGAGTCCTCTTCGCTGAATATCTTATTTTCGTGATGAATGCCCTTGCTAGTGTGTCATTCAACTGTTCCAATTCATCACACTTCGCAGATGGACTCCATCTCACATTACGGCTGATCTGTAGATTTCGCCAGCCAGCCAGCCAGATCATAGTGATCCAAACAACACCGAAAGGCCGATTTGCTCGTTTGTGGCCGGTCATCGCTAGCGATGTACTCAAACAAATTCAACTCACAGAGACATCTGAATCACTTCAGGTCACCTGAATCTGGTCAGCCGGCTAACTTCCATGAACCTGAAATAGGATGAACAATTAGCAAATGATAATTTACAAATTGCACGGTCCACATTAACATTTTTCACGGTGGATTAGTTTTTCAACTACCAGTCAACTTTAGTGTCAATAGGATTTCCGCTGAAAACCAGCCCCAATCTGCCAAGATTAAAAAGTGTGATCTCTGGTATAAAAGTGTCATGAATTGACGAAGTACACTACTACTGATCAACATGAGTGGTAGTATATTTCGCAAGTTTGTGATCTGTTTTTCACATGAACTAATCCAAGACATCAAATCGACAGTGAAGAAAACTCCTGACGTCTTCAAGGGTAAATTTTCAACGTGAAGGTTTTTAAGGGATTTATTGATTCCAAGTTCGTATTCAACACGAACTAACATCAGTTGGAGAAGCACTAGAGTCGCTTCGCCCTAGTGTTGGACTTCACATGAGCTCAAACCCGGTATCTTCAGGTATTGGGGCGAGCACCTTGTCAATGAGCTACTAGGTTGGGAGTGAGTGGTTCACATTTTCTTATTTCTAGCAATCCGCAATATAATATGGGAGACGTTCATCCAATGCAGTCGGCAATAATTTGTCCTCACATTTAACTCCTCACTAGTGTGATGAGTAGTTATAATCAGTGAGGCTGTTTGAGGTGGCCATGGTTTGGAGTGTTGGTATAATTGATACCAAGGGATGATTGACAGTGAGATGAAAATTTAACTTGCCGCAGGATTCGAACCAGCGAACTTCGGATCACTGGCGTGGTGGTCGAATGACTGGCCCATGAGATCTAGCTACCAACCAGATCTTATGTTTCCGGTCAGCATCTAATACGAATCATTAAAAGTCTGCTTTTTTTTTGCAAGCCACCTGTAAACCCAATATCTGATCACTGGCGGCTAAGTGATTTTATGTTCTCTACTCCTGAGTGCTGATAGAATTCTATCGATGATTCTGTGTAATGTGCCCACCAAGCTAGGTGACTCAATATCGCGGTGCAGTTTGCTTGAATGTCAGTTAGCTGGAGGCGATCAGCAGGAAGCTCGTCCCCACTTGTGTTTCGTAACTGTTAGCATTTATCAGCCGGGTGTATCTGCAACATCAAGAAAAATTGTGTCTCTTGTAGACTGTTTATATGTACAGCCAACGTTTTGATAATCCATATTAAGAGTTATGCGGAAGAATTCCTTGGACCTTAGCCGACACTTTCACCACTTGGTGGAATACAGTCTATTCACTATGGTTACCAATAATACTTTGGACGTTTTCCACATTAAAATCAAGTCAGCAACCTTTTGTCTGTTCGTGCAGTAGGCAATGGTTTACATACACCTATTTTATAATGGTTAATGATACACTTACTATCTTGTTATCTTTAACTCCAGGAGGTGGCACGGGGTTCGAACCGTTGACCCATCGGTTAGGAGTGAAGTGACATTTTCTGAAAAAAGTATCTTGACAGGTGAAAAATGGTGTAAAGTTTTGACAAAAGAAATAAACTACTTGTGTTGAGTTTCTACATTATCATCTACTGAAGTATCTGAACAACTCGGTGGAATCCCTAGGACATCACAGACAAACTGGATTGATGCTATATTTTAGTCTGGCTGTCTCTAACCTTCTTCCAACTTGAACCTACTTCAGCTGACATTATGCAGCGAGGCAGGCTTCGGCTAGGCAAGCATGCGTAACACATGTCTCAGCCACCTGGATCAATGAAGTTTCACAACCTCACCAGCTGACTTTCTTCTATCTACAACTCTGCGCTACTGCTGGTGTAAAGGCAATCGTGGTCAAACACCTGTGTCTGTGTTTGTACACAAGCACAATAATGTGATAAATGCAGACGTTCATTTAAGACGATCAGAGAACCTTTCGGCTACTGACAGGAATACTGTAGCGTCTGGACACTCTCCATAACTTGATAATACTCTGACACAACAGAAAATCATGGCATATGGCGAAAAAGACATACTTTAAACAGAATTGTTGAAAAACTTTTCACAACTCACCCCCACCATTTTTATAGCATAAATACGGGAATCGCCAAACATTCCCCAACCCAATTGAAAATCCCATACATGCTATCAGAAAGTCAATTTTCCCCTTCATTGATCACGTTTCATTTTTTTATCATCTACATTTAAGCCTCTGTCAAGTTCTTCACCAGTTGGTTGGTTACTTGCACAGTTTGACCCACCATCATCTGCAAGATAGTCACAATATGACATTCTACTGAGTTACTGGTTGAATGAGGTGAAAAGTATTTGACGCTAATTAAATTTCTCGCCGGGGTTCTCAAAACTGTGTGTGTGTGTGTGTGTATGTGAGTGGATTATATTCCCGCAACAGATGAAGATATTAAAAGCTTGAACACTTCTGAATGAAAATTAAGTCAGTATTGTTTTAATAAAAAGAATTTGTACATATGTACCTGCCTGTCTATATGCACGTGTTCACTATTTATGTCTGTCTGTCTATCTGACTATCTTACTATCTGCCCATCTCCATCCATCGATCGATCCGTTTGTTTATCCAATCAAATTAATGATTAGCACAAATTTCATTCATTTAAATAATAAAATAAATGAACACTGAACGAATTGAAACGAACAGTTCAGTGAACCAACCTGTCATTTGACAGACAGTAAGAAAATTCTTTTTAAACCAGTAATAATTTCGATATCGTAATTAGAAGACGAAGTTCATCTCAGCAATGTGATGTATTTGCGCAATACATTTCGAACAATCTGATCACATATTTACTTGTCAAGTCAATATATATTAAACCGAAGACTGGGAGGGGGGATAAATACAACAATTAACACAATTTATTATTATTATTAGTTCCTTGAGTTCCTAATGGAACATAGGGCTTCACTAGCACGTCTCCATTCCACTCTCTTCTCTGAAATCTTTTCAACCTGGCTCCACCATTGCCCACAAACTCTCATTCCTTCCTCGCACCATCTCCTCCATGTCACCCTCACCTCAGACGCCCAGCTCGTCGCTTCCCATCGGGGTTCCACTCGAGCAACTGGCCTGATGCGTGATGTCCCCAGTCGACCCTTTCAGTGTATGCCCAATCCATCTCCACTTCCTTCCACTGCATATTTGTTCAGCGATAGCTTCTTGGTTGCTTCGTTCCCAGCCACAGTTCCTTGTTGCTTATTCTTCTTATTCTGGCCATCTGATCTTCAGTAACGAGCCAGTGTAGATGGCAGTTGTTGATGAATGTCTGTAGTTTATTGGAAATCCCTTTCGTAACGCGCCAAGTCTCTCAACCATACAGAAACACTGATTCGACATTGGTGTTGAAAATCCGGATGTTGTTCCGCATGCTGAGAGGAGTGCAGAAGATCTCCACACTGGTTTCAGGCTAATGAGCGCCTGTCTTGCTTTTCCGATCCTGGCTGTCTTTGACATCCTCGTCTGTACCTGTGCCGCCAGTAGTTGAAACAGTGCTGCCTGGATAGGTGAAGGAGGTTACTTCCTTTAAGTTTCTCCCGTTGATGGTGATGGTGACTGGAGTTTGTTGTTGTTGTTGTTTGAGTTGTTGGTGCGGTATCTTCATCACCTCTGTCTTCTCTATATTCACTTGAAGTCCCGTCTTCGCTGCCCTGCCTCTTCTGTCAACTTGTTAGTTTTCGCCTGCAGATCTTCGAGTTTGTGTGACATCAGGCACAAGTCATCAATGACGAAATCCAGATCTTCTGGGTTCTTTTCCGCAGTCCAGTGTATCTCCCTCTTCTCGCTGCCTAATGTTTGCTGCATGACCCGGTCCACCACAATCAGGAATATCATGGGTGATAGTAGGTGGCAACCTTGTCTCACTCCTGTCTTCACTTCCAGTGCAAAAGCATCACTGAGCTTCCCATTGTGAATTACTTGGCTGGTATGTGGCGTCTTCATGTAGTTGTTGAATGAGGCTGATAAAGGTTTTCGGTATTCCGTAGTATTGAAGCAGTTTCCAAATTACCTGTCGGTCGACGTTGTCAAAGGCCTTCTCAAATTCGATAAAGTTGAGGGTGCGTTGAGTTGACTGCCATTCCATACTGTGTTCTATGATGATGCATAGTGTAGCGTTGCAATTTGGTCAGCACACGATTTGTACTTCCTGAATCCAGCCAGCCAGCCAGCCTGTTCCGGTCGTAGTTTTGAATCTAGCGCATCTTTAGCCTCTCCAGGATGATGCGGCTCAATATTTTGCTTGGTGTGGGTGGACAGGAGAGTGATTCTGTGCCACTTCTTGCAAACACTGAGGTCTCCCTTCCTCGGGACTGTTTGAAAAGGTAACCCTTCTTCCAATCAACAGGCAGGTACCTTCTCTTCCTTCCACACCTTCTGCAATAGTGGTGTGGTGTGAGCGTGTCCGCTGTTGTCTCTGCATCTGTTCTCAGTGCTTCTGGTGGGATTCCATCTGGTCCTGCTGCTTTCCCACATTTCAGTAGCTTTATGGCGTTCAGGACTTCGACTTCCGTTGGAGGATTTATCTTCACTTGTAATTCAGCGGCTGGGTTGCTGGTGGTATTTCTGGACGAAGTGTGGGTGGTGGTGGTGGTGGTGATCGATTCAAGAGGTTCTTGAAGTGGTCGGCACATTGTTTCCTCTGTTTCTCTTCTTTCCTAATTAAATTTCCTTCTTCATCTTTTATTGATTTCATCTGTGTTGATCTCTCCACAGACAGCAAGTAACCTGGTTATTTGATACAATTTTGTCAGGTCTCTGTCTCTCCTACCTGCAGCCTGTTCTGCTTCACTTGCCAATGTGTCGTAGAAGTGTCTTTTGTCTTTCCGTCCACTCTTCTTCACTTCTTTGTCCAGTGTAGTGTTTTATACATTGTATTCAGTTCCTCTTCTCGTCGTTGAGCATCCTTGCACTGCACTGGTTTATCTTCTGCTTCACCATCATCCTCTCCCTGCTTGCTCTATCAGCTTCCATGTATCCATTGAGATCCATTCCACTCATTATCTTCTTTCTTCTTCCTTCCTAATACGGTTGTGCAGGTTTCTTTACACATCCCTTTCAAAGACTTCCAGTGTTCTTCCACACAGGTTTCTTCAGGCATGTTCCTCGATATCTCCCATTTTGTCTTGATGTCTGGCTACCGTGAAGATTTCCTTTGTAGTCTCATCCTTCAGTTTCCGAGTGTTGTACTTGAAGTGTGGTCGATCACCAGCTCCCTTGAATTGAAGGCTTTCAACTTAATTTTAATAAACTTGATTTTGGAGGTAGGTTCCTTGCACTAGACAGTGAGTGGTGTGAACCTACATCTGCTCCTCTTCTTCACCTTGTGTCAAGTAGACTGTGTCTCCATTTTCTTGAGATTGAGATGAAGTCGATTTGATTGTTAGTGTAGTGTGTCCTGGTGTCTGGTGAAATTGAATCCATGTCGCTCGCTTTGTGGATATCCTTGTGCTTGAACACACTACCCGACTCCAGTCACAGAATCGTTGAATGCACAGAATTCTGCATACAATTCTCCATTCTCGTTCATCACCTCACCGAGTGGTTCTCGACTCAGGCTCATGGTTAGTTCTCTTCCTGTGTTGTCCCCTCCCAGTTTGGCATTCATGTCGCCCATTAGAATGAGTTTTGATATCGCCATCTTGAGTGGTGTCTTGTCCAGTGTTGATTGCAGTTGTCTGTATAATTCCTCCTTTTTCTCTTTCTCTGCATTATTTGTGGTGTAGGTGGGTAGCATTGTATGATTGTGACCTTCCTTCCTTCCTTCCTTCCTTCCTTCCTTCCTTTCGAGTTGAATCTTGCTATCATGATCCTGCATGAGGAGATTGGTTCCCATTGCATGAGGGCCTTCTATGCTCTTCAATGGGACATCATGATAGCCACTCCATAACTCAGTGTGCTGGTGGTTGTTATCTGGATGACAATATCGGAGTAGATTATTGATTCTCCAGTTGACAGTTTAGAGAGTCCACTCCCATTCCATCTGCTTCCGCAAATTCCATCACTTCAATGTGATACCTCTTCATCTCGTTTGCAATGTGGGCTGCCTTGCTGGGTTCAAACATTGTGCGGACATTCCATGTGTCGCCATGTTTACTTTTGCTTTCATCGAGAGGGAGAAGACACACCGGCCAATTGGCTTCCCGAAGGCAGGCTTTCACCAACTGGCGTCATTTCACCTCTCCGATTCCAGCGAGGAATAATTTTGTTATTATTTTTTATATTTTGTTTGTGCTTTGAAGTTTGTTTAGCGGTTAGATTTGTTTTCTGGGGTAGGGTTGCTAGCCGTATGCCCAACCTTCCCTCTTTGCCCGGGCTTAGGACCGGCTAGTAACTAGTGAACTAGTTAACCAGGCGAGGTTACCTAGTATTTAGAGTAGGATCAATTTACTCTAAGATCCGAAGGTGGGATCTTTGTCTGACACAAAAATGTCATGAGTTTACGAAATACGCAATTGGGAACTACTCAGTTTGTTATGAGTAGTCTAAACACCAGATGGTCGTTCCACTCATTTGACGCTTGGGTTATCAATGCTAAATTCAAACAAACTAAGGTGAAATTTCTGACAGCTGAGTAGGTTTTTAGGTGCTGCCTAGCAATCGAGAAGGCAGATCAAATTGATTGAATCGGTAAAATCTGTGGATTAGCGTTGGTAGTTTTTATAAGTACTTATATCGCTCAGTAGTATGTTTCACGCAAAATGTTTCTTTATGGGTAACAGGGTACTTAATGAACAAAGGAATATCTTAACGTGTTTCAGCAGACAATTTGGTGAATAACTCAGTGGTGAGATTTTTTACTACAGCACTGAATGTCACAGTTTTGCCATACTTGTAGATACGCTTTCCTGACGAGTGCCGATAGGGACGAAACATAGGTGGAGTAGGACTTCGTACCAGTTAACTCTGATGTCATACACTGTAGAAATAGTAGGTTAAAAGCCCTATAGAATGAAAGGTTCCATAAGATGACTCAGTCAGATACGAAAAGGTTTATGGTGGCTTCTCTGTAGTATGCTCGTCCTCAAACCCTCGCCCAAATGTTGCGGAATACTGACCTATGCTCTTAGTGTTAAAACACGCCTATCTTCCAATTGTGTATTCTATGGCGTCAACGTACTGATGAAATGTGAGGGGGACAAGAA